TTTTTTTTTTGTTTTTTAGAGACAGGCTCTCACTATCACCTAGGCTGGAGTGCAGTGGCATAATCACAGCTCACTGCAACCTCAAACTCTTGGCTTCAAGGGATCCTCCTTCCTCGGCCTCCCAAAGTTCTGGGGTTACAGGCATAGCCACTGTGCCTGGCCTGATTTTCGTTTTTTTAACCTTCTCCTCAGTCCACTGGGAGAGCCTCATCAAGATAGAATCTCTAAAGACAAATAGGGCATGTTGACATTTACTATGGCAAAAACTCTTACCTGGTTTATTTTTTGGCAAATGAAGAACAATTGTATTAAAACTTTTCTTCTGTGGCTGGTAAAGTAATTTGTTGCATTTTTAGAAGAAATGTCTTGTCAACCCATTAGACCTCTTTGTCTAACCAAAAGTCCAAGAATTCAGGTGCTTTTGAGTTCTTTTCTGGCTTTGCCATAAAATCTATTTTGATGTTTTCACATTATCTGCATGGATCATTCCATCATTATGCCAGAGCAGTGTGAAGACTCATAACTTGGATTTTTTTTTAACTGTAGACTTTTTGTATGGAAGTGAAATTCATATAACATTAAATTAACCATTTTAAAATAAACAATTCATTGATATTTAGTACACTCACAGTGTTTTGCAACCATCACCTGAGTCTAATTCCAAAACACTTTTATTACTCCAAACATAACTAATTTTTTAATGCATCTCCTTGGAGAAAAGAGTTAGAATACTATTCTTCATTGTTTCATTTGCTTATAGTCTGATATAAAGTACTGAATTATAACTATATTTATCTTCAGGTGATTTCAAATGTCCTGTCAAAGAGGAAATAGCAATTACAAGTGGTGAATGGGAAGTTCTTGGCCGGCATGGATCTAATGTATGTCCTTTTATTCTTCTGTTATGGTTGGTCGACATATGCTGTGTGAATGCGGTACTGAAATCAGTAATGCAACCTAAAATGACCCCAGTATTTTGAAATATTAAGTTAGGGCCTAAAAGAACTCAAGTTGTTGGAAAGGAAAAATCTTAGTTTAAATTATAAATTTCTTCATCCATTATATAGCACTGGTATTAGATGTGTTCTGGTTACAGAAGTTCACTGTTTTGAAATACATTGTTGCTACGTAATAAGAAAGGAGCTAGCCTGTACTTTTTTAGAGTCTAGCAAAAGTTGCAAGTTAGAATATAGTTTGAAAATTATTTTTAAATCTATTGTAGACTGCTTGTGTTGTGTCTACGTTAGAAATTGCATTCACTGCTCCTGAGGTAGTAATTCTCTTCCATTCACCTGTTTATCTTATCTCACAAACTTAAACTTTAGTCCACCACTGCAAAGAGTGATGGGCATTTTTACAGAGCTTAGATTGATAGAGAAGAGGAAGGAAATCCACCCTTTATTTAACTCTCAGAAGCAATTCAGTGAATTCTTTTTTTTCTTTTGTCTTTTGTAGTACCTTGCATTTGTTTCAGCTTTCAGTTAAGTGGTCAGTTTCATGAGATCCTAAGAACTCCATCCTTTCTGTGTGTGACACATGTGGTTAAGTCTATGTATGCTACCAGGATTTAGTGAAGGCTAAAATATCATTTCCTCAAATTGATATGGAGATTTATGGAAGGATTATATGTACTGGCTTCTGTAGAAATCACTTGTAGTGCCTAACATGAGAATGAAGATCCAGGTCCCAGATTTGGTAAAAACTTTAAGAATATCATAGGTGACCTTTAAAGTTTAATTTCTGCTGAGATCCTCACATGGCCTTCTGGTTATATATCCAAATATATTTTTTTCTGTTTAGGGACCTTGGATATTACTGTCACCTGAGAAAACTTATTTTGGAAATCTTAAGTTCTGATAATAGAAAATTACACTAACGTAAATTTCATGCTGTGTGGTGGCTGGACTATAAGAGTCACTAGATAATACTGAGGGAACCTCAAACGTTCTATTTACATAGATCTGATCCTTATTTGGGCAACCTACATGTCTTGTGCTACTTGCCACTAATGTGTGTTGATTTTCTTTTTTTATGTCATGTTTGTTTATGTGATGTATTTATCTCTTTCTTACCTCTTTCTGTTTTGCCTCTATTCTTGTTTTGGGTGGGAGTTTTTTTGTTTTTGTTTTTTTGTGTTTTGTGTGTGTGTGTGTGTGTGTGTGTGTGTGTGTTTTAACTTACTTTTTTCCTTCTCCGTTTTTATAAGTGACCTTGTTCCCACCCCAAAGATTTCTTTTTTTAATTCTTTCTTTTTTTCTTTTTTTTTTACCTTTTTACCTAAAATGACACAGCTTTAGATCTACTCAAAGATTTCTAATGGCAGTGACTGGGTAAACCTTTGAGACTTTTAAGCCATGTGCTTCTTTTTGTTGAGAGTGGTTCTCAAAGTGCTGGACCAGCAGCAAAACATCAATATCACCTGGGAACTTGTTAGAAATGCACATTCTTGGGCCCACCCCAGACCTCCTGAATCAGAAACTCTGGTGGTGGGGCCCAGCAGTCTGTGTGACAAGCCCTCCAGGGGCTTCTGATACATCTGTTGACTGTAAGAAGTTACATGAAACAATGAAAAGAACCATGATAGGCAGGGGTGAGGAAATGATTGGTTATTTCTTTAGTTTTGAAAGGCCAGACTCCCAGCTGCTAGGTCAAGAGCAGAACTAGTCCTAACCTTTGTCAGGGATTATCACACACCTGTGAAGCTTCCTGAACATTGTTTCCTGTCATTTGTATCCTTTCTGTATATGTTACATGGGCCAACTGAATCCCAACTGTGTTTATTTCTGTATTTATGCATACTAAAAAATATTTAATGATGAAGAAAAAAATGGGAAAAAATGAGACATTTGAAAATACTTGCTTTTAGAAATGTATCTGTTTTCTTTGGTGTGTAAAAAATATGAATTTTCTTAAATATTGTTTGAGTAGGCTGGTAGAAGATTTTTTAATGGAACAATAAAAGAAAGCCATTTATTCAGAATCTTACTATAAATTGGGAAGAGTATTAAGTGAATTCAGCCATGAGTTTACTTGCAAGTTTTTTTGAGTTCTGAAAGAGGACTTAAAAATCTTACCCGTACTTAACTATAAACTATGCCAGGCTGGGCACGCTGTGGCTCACGCCTGTAATCCTGGAACTCTGGGAGGCTGGGGCAGGAGGATTGCTTGAGCTCAGGAGTTCAAGACCAGCCGGAGCAACAGCAAGACCGAATCTCTACTAAAAATAGAAAAAATTAGCCTAGCATGGTGGCACATACCTGTAGTCCTAGCTACTCAAGAGCCTGAAGCAAGAGGATCGCTTGAGCCCAGGAGTTTGAGGTTGCAGTGGGCTATGATGACACCACTGCACTCTAGCCTGGGTGACAGAGTGAGACTCTGTCTCAAAAAAAAAAAAACTATGCCAGTATTGAAACTGTGATTGAGTTCAATTATTCGCCACCCAATAGATAAAACACTTTGCAAATTTATACAAAAGACCAAAAAAGTACTGCCTAAGATAATACTGTACTGAGAAATACACAGGATACTAAAATTAGACTCTTTCAAGTATGTATGAATGGTAGGTCTAAGCTGCAATATAGAATTTTTTTCCTTCCCTATAAAGAGTTGTTATTTTAGAGAAATAATCGTTATATTTTAAGAAAAACATGCATTCTGACCAGAAAGAAAACTATACAAACAGTGTGCAACTCAGGTGTCCTTTTTCCTCTGGACATGATCTATTCTTAGCTATAAGGCATAAGCAAAAACAGCACAGGTTTATTAACATTGGTAGCAAAATTTTAAAAATGAAGGCACAAGTCAAAGAATGACTCAGATGATTCTGAACAGAATTGCAGGTTGTTTGTTGAATTACTGGCCTTGCAAAGGTCATGTTAGCTATGAATTTTTTTGTTATTTTGACAGATCCAGGTTGATGAAGTCAGAAGGCTGGTATATTTTGAAGGCACCAAAGACTCCCCTTTAGAACATCACTTGTATGTGGTCAGTTATGCAAATCCTGGAGAGGTGACAAGGCTGACTGACCGTGGCTATTCCCATTCTTGCTGCATCAGCCAGGTATGAAGTCCATGTTTGAAAAGGATTTCTTGTCATATAAAAACTATGCTCATATAATAGGCTTTTTGGAAGATGTAAAATTTGGTGAAATTGACCTTCAGAAGCCTAATTCTCTTAGGAAAAGCTTTAAAAAGCTTAGCCTTAGCTTCTGCATTGTATGTGTACCTGGATAGTCAGCCTCTTATTATACTCTTATTATAGCAGATGTAACAGCAGATAACCTTTTTTACTTTCCCCTGAGGAAACTGTAATTTTTTCTCCTTTCCCTAGCATTGTGACTTCTTTATAAGTAAGTATAGTAACCAGAAGAATCCACACTGTGTGTCCCTTTACAAGCTATCAAGTCCTGAAGATGACCCAACTAGCAAAACAAAGGAATTCTGGGCCACCATTTTGGATTCAGCAGGTACTCTTTTTTTTCTCTGAACCTGTTCATAAGTAGGATTAGTATGTTAATGCACTAAACCTGTGTCATATGTCTACATTTCCTGGACAGAGTCTTCCCATCTCGCACTGCCTGTCCCTAAGCAACTGGGCTCCTGATTGATCTCACCTCTTCCGTTCTGTCAACTACTAAATAAGATGGGTTACCCCTCACTCTAATCAGGAGCGGGTCTGGAAGGCCTTTTTGAAAATATGATTAAAATAGTCAAGATATCAGCTAGGAAATGATTTATTCACACCTTTGGATGAGTTCTCAGATAAGCAAATGAACTTGAAGATAATGTATTCTGAGCTAGTAAGACCCTTTGAGTAGGGAAGCTGTGCTGCTTTAAAGAATAACCGGGCTGATAACTTTCTTAAACTTTTGAAGCACTTGCAGTGGCTATCTTAATAAAAGAACACTTGCTGTTTATGGGAGTGAAAGGAGCACTATGAATTTGGTTTTTGGGGGTTTTTTTGGGTTTTTTTCTTCGAGACAGAGTCTTACCCTATTGCCCTTGCTAGAGTGCAGTGGCGTTATCATGACTCACTGCAACCTCCAACTCCTGGGCTCAGGTGATCTCCTGCCTCAGCCCCCTGAGTAACTGGCACTACAGGTGGGTGCCACCATGCCCAACTAATTTTTTCTATTCTTGGTAGAGACAAGGTCTCACTCTTGCTCAGGCTGGTCTGAAACTCCTGAGCTCAAGTGATCCTCCCACCTTAGCCTTCGGGAGTACTAGGATTACAGGCATGAGCCACTGTGCCTAACCAAGAATTATCTATTTTTTAAATGCTTGATCTCTTAAATATAAAGAATGGACTAATTTTATGTATCTCCTAATCTACTTTATCCCTAAATCTTTTTTCCTGTTTTTTCTTTCATTAGTAATATCTGCCAAGGAGTTGAGAAATTAATGCAGAACCAAAGGGTATAGGTAATTTTAAAGTCCACAAGCAGAATTTGTAATATGATGATGATCTCTACTTAGACAGTAACGTTATCTACTGTACACAGACACTTAGGAGAGATTATATAGCTTTGGTGAACCAAAGACTGATGACAACTTTCTTTTTCTAGGTTCTGGTCAAGCTTATTCTCTAATGATCAGAAACAAATGTTATTGAACACTTGCAAGTTAAATTGACTAAGTTAAATATGTACTTCCTGTTTCTTTTTTTTCCCTCAGCTTTAATGAAGTATATGCCTATTTCTAATCAAGTGTATGGTTTAACCATCAATAAGTTACACTGAACTAAGCATGAAGTATTTGTATAGTTCTGTACATAGATACTTCCTAGGCTCCAAGGATTATTCAGAATACTGTGTGTCTGCTTCTGAATAGATAATTTGATATGTTTGGTAGGCTTTTTTAAAGATGGATATTCTTGTATAATTTCTAGTTTATCATCTGAAAGAGGGCTAATCAATTATTTGTGTGTGGAGGTCTGGGTTTCAGTGTCTTCTTCCTTGCTCTCAGATTATAGAGCTCCCATAAGAACTCTTTTTATAGACTCTGTGTATTACCTCACAGGTCCTCTTCCTGACTATACCCCTCCAGAAATTTTCTCTTTTGAAAGTACTACTGGATTTACATTGTATGGGATGCTGTACAAGCCTCATGATCTACAGCCTGGAAAGAAATACCCCACTGTACTGTTCATATATGGTGGTCCTCAGGTGGGCATATTTATATACATATGTACATATATATGTATGTATATATAATTTGTGATTTGTTTTTTTAAGTATATAGTCCGTTGTTTAGGTTAAGATGTTGGGCCTCTGCTGTTAATGACTCTGGCTTATGTTCTGATTATCAAGTTTAGAAGTTCAGGAAGCTGGGTTTTGTTAGATGGATAATTTGTAAATCTGTAAGTCAAATTCTTAATTTACAATATAAGGAATATAACTCTTGTGGGGAGTGGAATATTCATGGAAGTAAATAAATATGTTGCTTTCTATGTAAAGAAAGTTGTTTGGTAAATTAAATTAAATAACTAAATATCTTGGTGAATAAAAAGAGTCTTAACATTTTCAGAAAGCCTTAGTAGCCTAGCAAATTCCCCCATGCGTCTCAAGCAAACTAGAATACTTTCAATAGTTAAGGCAGCTGCTGTACTACTATTCAGCACTATAAGAAGTTTACACCTTGATTTTTCTTTTATTGGGTTAATATTAGCAGGTGACTGACTATTAAGTAAATGGTGTTGACTATCTGAGTAAAGTATTTTGGATAGATGAATTGGTTAATTGGTAATTTTTTTAATTATTTATTCTTGATTAGATATCTTACATTCAGCCTTTGAAGAAATTAAAATATAATTATAGTGTTTTTATAATGTAACTCTTAGACTCAGTAATATCCTTTATAATTATACTCAGTTATTTAGTGTCTGGAAATATATCTAGATACCAAGTCATCAAGTCATACAAAAAAATAAAAGTAAAATGACTACATAACCCATAAAATCTGAGGGATGATGGTCATGTATTAAGTTAAATCACTTTGCAAAATTTTGATTTACAAACAAAACAATTCACATTTGTATTACGGTCATCTACACAAATCATGAAAGAGTTAAATTAGACTTCTACTTAAAACTTGAAGCCAAATCTTTGTAGCTAAAGAAAAAAGGGCTTAACACAAAGCAATTCAAGAGAGAAATCACAGGACACTCTCAGAAGCTTTACATGTTTGTTGTATTATTTTGATAGTAAGGCTAAGTAAGAAGAGTGTTTCTCCTTCCCAGTGAAGAAATGATACAATATATGAGACAGGTAAAAGACATCATAAAAACTAGATTTTAAGACTTAAAGGACTCCTTATATTAGTAATTAAATTTAAAAAGGCTTAGCCACATGAAAAGATGCTCAATATCACTATTCATTAGGGAATGCAAGTTAAAACCACAATAAGATACCAGTTCATACCCATTAGGATGGCTGTTATCAAAAAGAGGAAAATCATAAACATTGTACAGGATGTGGAGAAATTGGAACCTTGGTCCATTGCTGATGAAAATGTAAAATGGTGCCGCTGCTATGGAAAACAGTATCTCAATTCTTCAAAAAGTTAAACATAGAACTACCATATGATCCAGAAATTCCACGACTAGGTATATACCCAAAAGAAATGAAACCAGGAACAGGTATTTGTACACCCACATCCATAGCAGTGTTATTCACAATAGCCAAAAGGTGGAAGCAGTCCAAGTGTCCATCAACAAATGAATGAACAAAATGTGGTATATACATTTAATGGAATGTTATTCAGCCTTAAAAAGGAGGAAATTTTCCTCCTTTGAGGAACCTTGAGGATATTATGCTAAGTGAAATAAGTCAGACACAAAAGGACAAATATTGCATTATTCCACCTGTATGAGGTACCTGTAATAGGCAAATCATAGAGACAGAAGATAGAATAGAAGTTGTAAGAACTGGAGGGAGGGAGGATGGGGTGTTATTTCAATGGGTATAGAGTTTCTGTTTGGGATAATGAAAAAGTTCTGGAAATGGATAATAGTGATAGTTACAGAACAGCGCGAATATGTTTAATGCTACTGAATTGTACACTTAAAGGATTGAAATGGTAAATTTTATGTATATTATACCATAGTTTAAAAAGTCTTAGCCAATTCAATTAAAACAAAATTGTTTGGAGTACCTTAGGAATTACAGCTATACTTTTCTGCACTTACAGAAACAATGTATCTGAAAGGCTATAAGTGAATTCCACCATGTGGCTTTTCAAAAACCGTAGGTCACCTAAGATGATTTATTGATTTCTTTCTCAAAGTATTCTTTGGAAGCATTCAAATTTGGTGAGGCCATAGAAGAATCTGGTGTTCAATTTGCAGGGAGATTTCCCCATGCGACTTCACATGGTATAGTGCCTCTGGCACTTCAGCCCTTAGGAAGATCATTCATCCTCTTGGTTGATGACTCCATTTGGCTTAATTATAAAGAGACTCCCTAATGTAAGACCAAGTCTTTTTTTTTTTTTTGAGGTGAGGTTTCACTCTGCCATCAAACCCGGAGTGCAGTGGCCTGATCATAGCTCACTGAAACCTCCAACTCCTGGGTTCAAGTGATCCTCCCACCTCAACCTCCCAAGTAGCTAAGAGTACAGACGCACGCCACCACACCCAGCCTGTGGTTTTCTTTAGATGCTCAGGTTTATGCTCTTCTAGGCCTAGTATTTTTTCCAGCTCTCTCCCTTTTTTTTTTTTTTTTTTTTTTTTGTTAAGAGATACGGTCTCTCTGTCTATCACCCAGGCTGGAATGCAGTAAGCGGGATCGTAGCTCACTGCAGCCTCACCCCCCTGGGCTCAAGAGATTCTCCCACCTCAGCCTCCCAAGTAGCTAGGACTACAGGCAGGCACCACCCAAGGCCAGCTAATTTTATTTTTTGTAGAGATAAGGTCTCACTAGGTTTCCCAGGCTGGTCTTGAATTCCTGGCCTAAGTGATCCTCTCGCCTCGGCCTCCCAAAGTGCTGGGATTATAAGCATGATCCACTTCATCTGGCCTAAGCTTTCTATTTTTTACAGTGCCTTTCCTCTCTTGTGCTTTTGTATGCTACCATATAATAAATTTCACTGAAATTGTATTTCTTCCTCAGGTACAGTTGGTGAATAATCGGTTTAAAGGAGTCAAGTATTTTCGCTTGAATACCCTAGCCTCTCTAGGTTATGTGGTTGTGGTGATAGACAACAGGGGATCCTGTCACCGAGGGCTTAAATTTGAAGGCGCCTTTAAATATAAAATGGTGTGTGAGCATAAAAACACTTTTCTTTTAAAGACATTTACATTTTTTGGTGCATTGTTTGGTGTGAATCCCCAGAGGGAGGGTTAGGGGAAGGGGCTATGAGAGAGAGAGAGAGAGAGAGTGAGTGTGTGTGTGTGTGTGTGTGTGTGTGTGTGTGTGTGTTATAGTTTGGGGGTGGGGGTAAAGGTGAAACTTGATATACACGAAGCTAGCTCATGTCTACTTGTATGTAACTTTGGGGAGCTGAGATAGAGCCACTTTTACATAGAAATACCCTCTGTTTCTATTTTGTATGTCCACCTTAGCCAGAAGGCAGACCATGTAGCTTTCAGCATCCTGTACACTGTTGAGGAATAATTGAGATTTGTTCTGTCCTCTGTAAAGAGGGAATCCAACTGGTTAGTGCCTTCCTTGTGACAAGCCTCTTTCTCTCTACAGGAAGCTTTAAATGCTACCTTTTAGAGATGCCCCATGTCCTTTCTGCTGCTTTGGGAAATGATGAGAATCCGATGTTCCTTTTGCACAGTAAGGCAGTTACTGTGTTTGCCAGTGTATTGGACATGCTGAGTAAGACATGGGGATTTTCTCCCACAGCCAGTTCTTTGACCTTATGTTGTATTTCATGTAAGTTTTTTTGTTTTTATTTTTGTTTTAGGCTCAGTTGAGTGAGATTGTGTGCACTGGCAGGCCAAGTAATATAGACAGGGTGGTGGTGGTAGGAATTAGGTCTTTAAAGAAATAGTATGTTCAGTTCCTAGAGAGTATGATGGGGAAATAGGAAGACAGGGCCTCCAGAGTGATTCCCTCTGCTTTACTGCACTAAATATTAAAAAGGAGAAGTAAAATTAATAAATCACTTAAGGGGGCTAATTTTTTGTCTTTGAGTATAGGAAGGCTTGTTGCAAGGAAGATGCTGACCTCTTAGCAGACAACAGAACAAATGGAAATGGGAAGTACCCAAATAGCGAGGGGCAGTGTGGGTAGCAGTAGGAAAGAACGTTATGATTAAGGGTAGCTAAACATTAGGACCAGGCTAGCAACAGAAGCTGTAGGGCCCTATCTCTAAATAGATTTTTAAAAAACATTTTTGGGACAGTAGAATCTCAGTTGATAGGGAATTCTAATCTAAGAGAACTTAGGAATTTTTAGTAAAAAACATTTATCAGTTTTAAAAGCACTCTTGTAATGAGACTTTCATTCATCAGAATCAGTGAAATGTTCTCCCTTTTTTTTGACAGGGTCAAATAGAAATTGATGATCAGGTGGAAGGGCTCCAGTATCTAGCTTCTCGGTATGATTTCATTGACTTAGATCGTGTGGGCATCCACGGCTGGTCCTATGGAGGATACCTCTCCCTGATGGCATTAATGCAGAGGTCAGATATCTTCAGGGTATGTGACTTCCTGTTGTACTCATTTTTGTAATAAGGGTAGAATTTTCTGTAAATTGAGGATATGAGAAAATGTTTATTTTCTGAGAGTTTACAGAGTTAGCAATATTATGGAATGTTAGGGTCTGCGTGTTTAATAGCCATGTGAGATGCATGTATATCTCAAGTGTATGTGTATATATATATATATTTTTTTTTAAACACATGTCAACTTGATGACCAGTTATTGGCTGTTCATAGACATTCCAGACATTACAGGGGGTAGTTATGATTAGTAAAGCACACACACACATACATACTGGATTGTAGTTACTTGTTTAATTGTTGGACTACAAGCTCTGAGAGCAGGGACCTGTGTGACCTGTGTACCACTGTATCCTCAGTAGTCAAGCATAATGCTTGGCACATAGTAGACCCTCAGTAAATCTGTGTTGACTGAATGGTTTATTACATATATAAATGCTTATAACTGTGTAAACAAACTCTTAGAAAAATATATTAGGAAGGCCAGGCACGGCGGCTCACACCTGTAATCCTAGCAGTCTGGAAGGCAAGGAGGGAAGATCGCTTGAGGCCAAGGAGTTCAAGACCAGCTTGAGCAAGAGTGAGACCCCATCTCTACTAAAAAAAAATTAGCTGGGCGTGGTGCACATGCCTGCAGCCCCAGCTACTTAGGAGGGTGAGGCGGGAGGATTGCTTGAGCCCAGGAATTTGAGGTTGCTGTTAGCTAAGCTGACACCACAGCACTCTAGCCCGGGCAACAGAGTGAGACTTTGTCTCCAAAAAAAAAAAAAAACAGAAAAATATACTAGAGGAAAATACATAAAGATGATAAAAATTGTTAGGACAGTAGGAATTAATGAGTTGTTTTTTTTTATGTTCAATAACATTTTATTTTATAGTGGAAATTAATTTTTACTTTTCGGAATAAAAACAATAGGATTTTTGTTCTTACACATGTACTCAAGTAGTCTTTATAATAACCACAAATGAATTCTGAAAATTGCGATAATTTCCTGAGGCTTACAGTTGCCAAGAAAGTAATTAGAATACTTAAATATGAAGCTGTTTGTAGAAACCTTAAAATGAGGCAAATTTGGTGTGTGGGTTTAGTTTTGTTTTGTTTTGTTTTGTTTTTAGACAGGGTCTTGCTCTCTTTCCCAGGCTAGAGTGCAGTGGCATCATCATAACTCCTGGGCTCAAGCAGTTCTCCTGCCTCAGCCTCCTGAGTAGCTGGGCCTACAGGCATGTGCCACCACACACTGCTAATTTTTCTATTTTTTGTAGAAACAGGGTCTCGCTCTTGCTCAGGCTGGTCTTGAACTCCTTGGCCTCAAGCGATCCTCCTACCTCGGCCTCCCAGGCTGCTAGGATTACAAGTGTGAGCCACTGTGCCCAGCTTCATTCATTGTTTTAAATTCTATACTGCCAACAGAGACTTAAAAAAAATGGCTGCTTTTCCTATATAAAGCTGACAGTTCTCACACATTTTTTTCCCCAGTTGCAGGAATGAGTTTACACTGAGACATTTGTGTGCTCCGGTTCAGTGTCCCCCTTTAAAAAAGGGGGCCCACATTGGTTTTTCAGCTAGCCCAGGTTAAGGGTTTGATACGTGGCATGCCCATGGAACATGAAACTTACCCACTCACTGAGTATCAAATTCTTGACCTTGGCACTCCACTTTGATTTTCTGTTTCTTGAGACCATGTATGCCCCAGTGGTGGGACTAAAGCCTAAGGATAATTTTAGCCTGAAAATTTGTGGTTGTAAGTTCTCATTGCTAGCCATTCTTTTTTGCTGGACCACACTTGACTGCGAATGAATGTTTTTGTATGCAGGTTGCTATTGCTGGGGCCCCAGTCACTCTGTGGATCTTCTATGATACAGGATACACGGAACGTTATATGGGTCACCCTGACCAGAATGAACAAGGCTATTACTTAGGATCCGTGGCCATGCAGGCAGAAAAGTTCCCCTCTGAGTAAGTTCAGGCTTTAATATTAAGATTATAAATTCTAAATTGTATTTTTTAAAATTGTCTTTAGTCATAATGAAAGTTAAAACACTAAAAGACCAAGACTAATGTTTTATAGAATATTAGAATGGCATGGCTGTTTCTTGAAGCTGAATTACAGGCCAATTCATATAATCAGGTTTTTTACAAGTTATATTTGAAGCAGTTGCTTATGCTGAAAGAAGTAGACAGCTGTTTCAAGGTGGAAAAAATTGTATGTTTACTTAAATGTATTTTACAAATAGGGACATGCTATAATTATTGATATGTTCTAATATTTTAATCTTTTAAATTTTTCAGTCCATTTGGCATCTGGTTACTATATTATAAATTTAAATATTGAATCCTATTATTGATACTGAATATTCTAACATTACAATATAAGGAAGTTAATATAGTTAAATGTGATTAAAGGAGTTAAATGGTTTCCCCAAATACTCTACTATTTTGCCTAATCCTCTAATATTTGCATTTTTCCAGACCAAATCGTTTACTACTCTTACATGGATTCTTGGATGAGAATGTCCATTTTGCACATACCAGTATATTACTGAGTTTTTTAGTGAGGGCTGGAAAGCCATATGATTTACAGGTGAGTTATTCTACATTTTCTAATTAAATGTAGTGATTGATTACTTTGAAATCTAATCACTCTGGAGTAAGGCCAAATTTTCAGCTATGACTACTCTCTGCTTAAGAGAACTAAATTAATAGGCAAAGTTAGTAGTGCCTAGAGTTGGATAAAAATTGAGATTCTGTTAAAGTCAGGCTGATAAACTGACCTGTCTACCTGTACCTGCTTTTAGTTTGTAAGCATGGAAAAGATGACAGGGAATCCATTCACTATTCTCCTTTGCTTTTCTTTTTCACCTTGAAAGGTGAGGAAATGCTACTTGATTTCATTGTTATAAAAAGATTTTCTAACACCTGATTACCTGAACTTATAATTTTCTTTTATTTTACATTGACATTGGGGAAGAAAGCAGCAAATTATGCTCCTCCATTGCTCCATTACTCAAAAAATGGTTTTAAGAGAAACTGTTCCTCCATTTTACTCCTTAAACAGATTGTGTGCTCACAGAAATGAAATATATTACTTTTTTCTCTTTTATATTTCAGCTGATATTTATGTAATTCAACTATGAGATATTTGTCTATATCAGCAATTTTCAAGATTTTTGGTCTCATGACTACTTTACATACCAAAGAGCTTTGTTTGTGTGGGCTATGTCTATCACTATTTCTCATATAAGATATTAAAACTGAGAAAAATTTTAAATATTTATTTTAAAATATAAGCTATTACATGTTAATACACATTTTACGGGAAAAATAAATCCCACACTGTTATGGGAAAAAACACTATATTTCAAAATAAAAAAATATAATTTACTGAGAAAAAAATAGAATTATTTTACATTTTTATAAATCCCTTTATTAAGTCTGACTTAATAAAAAAGATACCTGAATTTTTTTGATCTCTGTCTACATTCAATCTGTTGTGATATGTTGTTTTGGCTAAAGTATATGAAGAAAAATTCAGCCTCACGGAGTATGTAGTTAAGAAGTGGGAAGAGTATTTTAGCCTTTTCAGATAATTGTGGATGTTCTTTGATACTACACCAAAACTGGACGAGTGGTAGTTTTCTTAGTTTTCTTAAAAGCCGGGGGTTTTGGGGAGATTTTTCTTTTTTAATTTTTTTTTTAAGGCAAGGTCTTGCTGTGTAGCCTAGGCTGGACTCCAACTCCTGGGCTCAAGCCATTCTGCCACCTCAGCCTCCTGAGTAACTGGAACTACAGGTGTACACCACTGCACCTGGCATAAAGCTTGGTTTTAGTGTGGAATCTGAAGCCATATCTATAAATTTTCATACTCTATTATATTACAATCTATTGGATCTGATATTTCAAATGGATGTTTTACTCATCCATTCATCATCTGGAAAATATTGATTCATTGTGTTATGCCAGTCTTTAAAATTTTGACTCATTTTATTATACAATTTTTTGAAAATCACATATAGTAATGTTACCACTTTCCTGATTTTCATCAGAAAAGTATCTAAGTATTGGGACACTCATGAGCTAATAGTGGTAGTGGTAGTTTTTGCAAGTTTTCCAAAATTCTAATTTTCACTCAAAAGCTCAGATTTTATCATTGGCAAGAAATACTATCAGTGTTGTCCTTGAGGTGACTAGCTTACTTTATTTTTGAGAAAATGTTTACCAGATCCCCAAGCCTAAATAGCCATAGTTGTCAGTCATTCTTTGAAGTTAAAAATGGAATTCTGTTAAAAAAAAAAAAAAAAAAGTAGCAATTCAGCTTGCAACTCGGTTGCAGAAGTACTTTTCCTTGAGCACAAATGTTTTATGCATACTTCCCATTTTATTAACACAGAATGTTAAAAAGACTTCTACTCAAGGGTTGCAACTTAACAAAATTCTGATTTTTACTGCTACTTCAGTGAAACTGACATTTTTCATTTTTACAACAAGTTTGTGGTGTTGAAGAATACTGTGACTTCTAGTACAATTTAATGTTACTGCCTTTGATTAATACTAAGACACCAATAGTTTCACTCACTATTGCTTTTGCATCGTTAGCACAGATGCCAACCCAGGGGATAAAGGGCAAATAATGTCTTAGTATTGTTCTTAAAGTAGTTTTGACCTTGTGTATCCCTTGAAAGGGTCTCAAAGGACCTCTTGAAGTCTGCAGGTCGCACTTAAGGAATGAACTATTGGTCTACAGATAAATCCTTCATTAAGCCTAATATGTGTAAGAAATTATAGGAAGAGGAGAAGAGCCTTTAGATAGGATGTATTAAGTAATATCTCGTAGAGGCTGTTCTTCATATTATTAATGCTGATAAAAATCTCCGGAAAACCTTCAAAGAAGATGTATTATTAAATTCTTATTTTTGTGTACTTTTATTTTTTGTTGTTGTTAAGATCTATCCTCAGGAGAGACACAGCATAAGAGTTCCTGAATCTGGAGAACATTATGAACTGCATCTTTTGTACTACCTTCAAGAAAACCTTGGATCACGTATTGCTGCTCTGAAAGTGATATAATTTTGACCTGTGTAGAACTGTGGTATACACTGGCTGTTTAACCAAATGAGGAGGTTTAATCAATAGAAAACAAAGAATTGATCATCACCTTTTGGTACCTGCCAAACATCTCCTGAAAGTAAATTTGGTGCCATGCAGGCGTCTACAGCTTATGGATAGTAATCTAATAACTTAACCATACACAAACAAAATTGAATGATACATATTTCTAAGGGACCCAGAAATACAAATACCATGAGAATTACTGAAACAAATAAGACATTAGCACCATGTATCCAGACTACATTATTTTCACTTTTAATAGCATTATAAACCTCATGGATTTAATTAGTGTATTTTTACAGTATACTTCTGAGTTTGTTAAAATATGGTATTAGTGATTGGTTTGGTTCAATTCCAGAATCTCTGACTAGTTTCAGATTTGATAGCACTTAAATGTAATTGAATAGTTTATGTTTCATTGCTTGGGGTGTATCCAGCATGTTATAAACTAATCACTATTAAACCTAACTTAACCAGTCATTAATGATTTTTCAAGGATAACTTAGTGGCCTCCTAAAGACACTTATTTTGGCTCTGACCAGTTTTTAGCCAATTTAAACTGTATCTAGTATAAATAATTCTCATTTTTCTTTGATGACATGACAGAGTGGGTTTTTCCTTATGCATAAAGGCAAGTAACTGTATATGTAGCATGAATTTAATTAGTCTTATGATATTGATAATTACAGGCAGAAAAATTTGATTAGAGCTTAAATATTTGCAGGCAAGTTTCTTTTTTTCTTTTAGGAAAAAGAAAAAGTACACATTCACCTTTATTCTTCAGAAAATTTTAGTGGTGCCAGTTTCCATTCAATATTTCCTTATTAAAATGTTCCAGAGTTTCAGGGAGGTTGAAGTTCTGGGATCGCAGTGGGGTGGGGGAGACCAGGGTGTGGGAAATGACAGGGAGAAGAGGTGGTGGGGGTCTGCTTAAGAACTAAGCAGAGTAGTTTTAACAAAAATACTCATGAAAAAGTTTGGGAAGTGAAATTTAAACTCCTAGAATGTTAAGGAAACCAAAATTAAGAAATCACTCTGTTGCCATCACAGCTGCAAACTAACATTATTCAGGGGAGGAAAAGTTCCTTAGAGTTGCTATTATAATTCTAATTTTTTTTATTTTTTCCTTTTAATTTTAGAAACCTTGCAAATTTAAGCTTTACCCTTTTTAAATTATTTGACATAATTTAGATACTATGAGCTTAAAATAAAAAGGTTTACAGACAACTTCTTTCATAAGCTAATCCCCAGCAAGCTACGGCTCTCTTTTTCAGTGCTTAAAGCCTATAAATAGTTTTCTTGAGTGGCCATGACATTTTCTTGCTTTAGTCCTAGCACTTGACTGTGAAGAGAGCTCACAGGATTTCAGGTGCTAATTGGGATCTGCCTTGATAGGGGTCTTGGGGTGCTAGATGGGTCATATTGGCACCAGTGGCAGAGAAGGCATCTATGAGTTTGACCCTTTTTATCACAAGCTTCAGTGTTCAGAAAGTTATTGTTACCAATACTTTTAAACAACAAAGAAAAATTGCTGTTTCTTTCTCATCACTACAGAGTGGATTTCTCCCATAGTGAGCACAGCCGCCATTAGTAAGGATGGTGACTGTGCATCAGAGGTGTGGATTTCATCATTTAGGGCCAGGTGGGAGGTGGGAAAGGCCCAGAAATGGCAGGGTGACCTCATGGTTCTGTCCTTGGGAAGGAGATTAGATTTTGTTGTTTGTATTTATACTGTATAATAGATACCACACTTTTTCTTATTGTCTGTGTATGTATTGATTTTCATGTTTATGATATTTTCCCATGCCAAAATTTGTTTATATTTTTTCAATGTTAAATTAAATTGATTTGGGTAACTTTTCTTCCCCAGGAAAGTATTTTCCCCCTTGACTTAAGCATATATCTGACTGTTGAGGGGTTTTCTGGGGGGCTGGGGGGAGAGGACTAATTGGCCTCAAAGAATCTATCATTATATGTGAAGTAGAAATGGTATACAGTAGCTTTTCGACAGCTGCTCATTGGAAACCTTTTACCCATTAAGGCTCTTTCTTCAAAATGGCGTCTCATTTTACCAAAACAAACTTAGAAAACCTCACGTACTCTTGAATTCACAGGTGTTTTCCTTTTGCATCTTGCCTTCTCCTTTCCTCCTATCACAAAGGATGCTTCTTTTATCACTCCCAGTCACTTAACTGCCATTCTGCTTCCTTAGGGGGAAAAAATACCTGACTAAATTGCAGAAAGATGGCTTGACTGAATTTCATTTTTACAGCCAGTGTGGAAAACATCACAGTCAGTTGAAGCAATCAGAAATCTCACTAAAATTGTTTGTGCCCTGACTACGGGTAACAACTTAAAAGGCAAGAATGTATAAAAGAAGAAACAGTTTGGTGAGAGCCAAAAAGCACTAGGTTAAACGTCATACTTTGCATGCTTGATAAATGGGTGTACTTGAACAACCATCAAGAGATAGAGTTACTTGAGCATTGTAGAACAGTGGAACTCAAGATCTAAAATTCATCTGGGATGCTTACTGAAGGAAACACAGTTTTGAATCTCACTCTTAGAAATTTAGATTCCATTGATTTGGGTAGAGACCAGGAATGTGCATTTCTAACAGGGTTTTCAGGTGGTTCTAAAGAAAGTCATTTCGGAATTAAGGTTTTTCCTTCTATGCCTTTTCTGGCTTTTTTTCAAAGCCTCACACCAGAGGATGAAGTCACAGTACATGCATTACCTTTTTTTTTTCTTCTTCTTCTTGTTAAGAGACAGGGTCTCACTGTGTCACCCAAGCTAGAGTGCAGTGGGCAATCATGGCTCACTGCAACCTCAAACTTCTGGGCTCAAGTGATCTTCCTGCCTCAGCTTCCCAAGTAGCTAGTACTACAGGCGTGCATCACCACTCCCAGCTAGTTTTTTAATTTTTTGTAGAGAGGGGGTCTTGCTATGTTTCCCAGGCTGGTCTTGAACTCCTGGGCTGAAGTCATCCTCCTGCCTCGACCTCCCAAAATGCTGGGATTATAGGCGTGAGCTACTACCCCTGGCCTGCATTACCTTTTAAAAGAATGAGATATACGTATTGATGCTTACTTTTTTTTACTACTTTATTTCCTACAGAAGGTATATCCCACCTCTCTGTACTATTGTTCTCTTTAGGTGGAATGATCACTCATTATTATAGGACCATACATTTTTCAAGCTGGAATAAATATTTGATCTACTCTAATGTTATCATTTGTTAGAAGAGCTGCCTGCACACTAGTGAGAGGAGGAAATATACCCATGGCCACGCAGCCAGTTAGTATTGAGGTGGTACTAGACTCTATCCAGATGTCCTGACTCATAGTAGTTAAATGATATATAGAAAAGGTAAATTTTTAAAGAAGTATTTATTAATATATTCCTATAAAACATTTTAAAGGTAACCACATAAAATGGTTAATTTTTTCCATTCTGAAGTAAATGCTAAGCATGCTTATTAATGAAGCAGTACTTCTAATTAGTATATGACATTCTGAAGTTAATTAAAATCATTGCACTAATGTGTCTTCCTTGGTGTAGTGGGGGATTTGAGGATTGGGATATAGAGTAGAGTGCTTGCTTAACCCTGGGAGCCTGTCTTACAGCTAGTGGATGTATGAAGAGACATGGCCATATCTAAAGTAAAATTATGTGAGGCGAGTATCTATTCCCAGCAGATACAAAGAAATAAGGAAACTTCCCTGACTCCCACCTTCACAACCCCACCCAGCCCCACCTATCCATCTTCCAGCCTAAAATAGAGATAGACGTTGGCGCAAGGTGCTGAGCTGTAGGTCGTCACTTCTCAAGTCCTTCACAGAGAAAGAAAAAGTAGTGTGTGTGTGTTTGTTTTTAAATAACCCAAATACAAACTTATGTTGTATTCAGCAAAATTGGGATTCAGGTCTTTAATTTTAGAACATAAAGTGCCTGCTGTTATAAGCACTGACTTGTATAAAAAGAATTGCATGTCTCACTCCAGTAAGTTTATTGGTTTTCTTATTTTCAGCTACATGGCTTTTAATCATGTAAAGTGAAACCTTAGTTTTGTTGCATTTTATTACAGGTTCTTTGTTGCAATAAAGCTGCTGCTGAAATCAATTGATTTAAATGTTCCTTCCCCTCCATCTCCCCATTTGTACAACCTTGCCTTGATTAGGGGCAACTGTGGAGTGATTAATACACATGAACAAGGTCATGTACTTGCAGTGGAGAAGGGAGCCTACAGGGTGAAGGATTACATAGGAGTCTTCGTATAAACACTAACCAAAATGCATCCAAGCCCAACGAGAAGTGTACAGAAACTGCTTTGTACCTGTAAGTCAGTGATCCCCAACCTTTTTGGCACCAGGGACTGTTTTCATGGAAGACAGTTTTTCCACAGATGGGTGGGGGGAATGGTTTCGAGATGATTCAAGCACATTACATTTATTGTGCACTTTTTTCTATTATTATTGTAATATATAATGAAATGATTATACAACTCACCATAGGTTGGGGACCCCTGCTAAGTGCTTCCCGACAACCAGAGGTTGATACTATAGGGGTAGATGGTGCTTAGAACCAGTGATTAGCATATCACCCCTGAGCAGCTAGGGGTTTGTAGGAAGGAATGCTACTTCCACTTGATACTAGTTTCTGCATGCTGCCCAGGAAGTTTTGAGGAAGTTCAGTTAATAACTTTCCAGAGGTTTAGGTTTCTTTGACAATTTTCTGGGTTTTTGAAGCTATATTAGAGAAGGGAGGAGGGGTAGCAGATGAACCCCTTTAAAGTTGAATTTTGTGTGATAATCCTTCCAGAACAGAACTTAATCTGGGTTCTATAACTCTCTCAAATTATATGTAAAATACTGCTTGAACAAGTAGTGGTGCATTATCCTGGAGAGAAGCTCTTTAGTTTTATCAGATTATCAAAGGGATAACGATCAAAAAATGTTAGGACACAAAAAAATGGAAAGATATTCCATGCTCGTGGTTTGGAAGAGTCAATATTGTTAAAATGTCCACAGTACCCAAAGCAATCTACAGATTCAGTGCAATCCTCATCAAAATATCAATGACATAGAAATAGAAAAAATAATCCTAAAATTTATATGGAACCACAAAAAACCCAGAACAGCCAAAGCCATCCTGAGCAGAAAGAACAAAACTGGAGGAATCACATTGCCTGTCTTCAAATTATACTACAGAGCTGTGGTAACCAAAATGGCATGGTACTGGCATAAAAACAGACACACAGACCAATGGAGCAGAATAGAGAACCCAGAAATAAATCCACACATCTATAGTGAACTTATCTTTAACAAAGTTGCCAAGAACATACGTTGGGAAAAAGACAGTCTCTTCAATAAATGGTGCTGGGAAAACTGGATATTCATATGCAGAAAAGTGAAACTAGACCTTTATCTCTTGCCATATATAAAAGTCAAAATGGACTAAAGACTTAGACCTGAAACTATGAAACTACTAAAAGAAACATTGGGGAAATGCTTCAAGACATTGGCCTGGGCAAGCTCTTCTTGAGTAATACCCCCAAAACACAAGCAACCAAAGCAAAATAGGACAAATGGAATTATATCAAGCTAAAAAGCTTCTACACAGCAAAGGAAACAACACAGAGACAACACAGTGGGAGAAAATATTTGCAAACTACCCATCTGACAAGGGATTAATAACTAGAATATATAAGGAGCTCTAACAACTCAAGAGGGAAAAAAAATAATCCTATTAAAAAAATGGGCAAAGGATCTGAACAGACATTTCTCAAAAGAAGACATACAAATGCCCAACAGGTATATGAAAAAATGCTCAACATCATTAGTCATCAGAGAAATGCAAATCAAAACTACAATAAGACATTATCTGACCCCAGTTAAAATGGTTTTTATCAACAAGACAGGCAATAACGAATGCTAATGAGGATGTGGAGAAAGGGGAACCCTCATACACTGTTGGTGGGAATGGAAATCAGTGCAACCACTATGGAGGTTCCTCAAAAAATTAAAAATAGAACTACCATATAACCCAGCAATCCGACTGCTGGGTATATATCCAAAAGAAGGGAATCAGTATATTGAAAAGATAGCTGCACTCCCATGTTTATCGCAGCACTATTCACAATAGCCAAGATTTGGAATGAACCTAACTGTCCGTCAGTGGATGAATGGATAAGGAAATTGTGGTACATAATACACAATGGAATATCGTATAGCCATAAAAAGAATGAAATCCTGCCATTTGCAACAACATGGATGGAAATGGAGAATATTAAGTGAAATAAGCCAAGCACAGAAAGATAAATCTCGCATGTTCTCACTCACATGTGGGAGCTAAATATTGAAACAAGTGATCTCATGGAGATGGTAGAAGGATGGTTACCAGAAGCTGGGAAGGGTAGTGGGGAGAAGGGGATAAAGTGGGGATGGTTGATGGGTGCAAAAATATAGTTAGGTAGACAGAATGAACAGTACTTGATAGCATAACAAAGTGACTATAATCAACAAGTTAGGGTATACTTTAAAATAACTAAAAGAGTGGAATTGGGATGTCCCTAACACAAAGAAATGATAAATGCCTGAGGTGATGGATACCCCAGTTACCCTGATTTGATTAATTCACATTGTATGCCTGTATCAAAAGATCACATCTGCCCTATAAATATATACAACTATTATGTACCCGTAATAATTAAAAATAAAAAAGTTTTTTAAAGTTAAGAACCACAGCTGTAGGATCTTAAATCTTTATTATGTATGCAAAAATTATTAGGAATAAAGATGATCTTTAAGCAAGGTAATGCTATAGACGAGCGCTTCCTAACCTTGTTACATGAAGA